TTCGACATCCAGCCGCGCGTGCCTCATGCCGTGGACGACGCAGTCGATGTGTTGGGGCCGCCGGCTCGTGCAACCAACGTAATCGGCGCGCTCCGTTTCTATGCTCTGGGTGATGCCATGGGCGATGGACCGGCAGGAGGCGGCCAGCACGCCCACGTCGTGCCAGTGGGCCCGTGCGGTGAGAAGGCTTTTGTTTGGCCGACCCCCCGTGCAGCGCGTCTTGTGTCCCGGTCGTACGGCGGCAAACAGCCAGGCGCGGAAACGGTAGCCACGTGGGTGTGCATGCGCGATGGTCGTCGCTCCCAGGTGGTGAAGGATGACCCCAGCGGCCCTGAATAATGCGAGCTCGGTGTAGCTCGTCCCAGAGTGGTCCAGTGTCCGCTGCGCGGCATGCTGGGCACGGTCCACGTATCGAGGAGGACCTCGGCAGACAAAGGGGGGGCAACCTCGAGGCGGGGCCAATGTCCAGGGCAGGGCTGAACGAACTGGCTCGATTCAGGGACTGTTCACTGCACCGACCTTGCAGACGTGCTGCAGCGGATTTCAACGTGGATTCCTGCCAATGCAAAACCCCGAAACGGCGAGCGACAAACGAAGTGAATTTCACGTGGATTTGTTTCTAGTCTTCACCCCTGGCCCAACAAAAATCCGCACATTCGCCTCGACACCCAGAGCGAAACTCTCCAAGACAACCTGTGCCCGTCCCGGTGCTTTCCGAACGAACTCCGCTCTTCGATGCTGGCGCCATGACACCGTGGGGCTGCTGCGTACGACAGCTCCGCCTGCCTTGGTCGGTGGAGTGCCATCTCGGGAGCGGTCAAGAGGGGGGTGTCCAAGAGGGGGGGGTGCAAATCATGACCGGCGGCATGTGCGCGGCCCAGCGGGGGGGCCAGGGACGTGACGAAACAAGATGAGGCGCCCTGAAATCTGGGGAAATATCATGGCCCCCGCCATGAGATCCACCCCTCCCTAGTCATCACCCCCCTCTTTGCCGCCCCCGACCCCGGAGGAGGAGGAGGAGGAGGAGGAGGAGGAGGAGGAGGAGGAGGGGGAGGAGGAGGTGGAGGAGAGGAGGGGGAGAGGAGAGGAGGAGGAGGGAGGAGGAGGAGGGAGGAGGAAGAGGAGGGGGAGAGGGAGGAGGTAGGAGGAGGAGGAGGAGGAGGGAGGAGGAGGAGGAGGAGGAGGAAGAGGAGGAGGAGAGGAGGGGGAGGAAGGAGGGAGGAGAGGAGGAGGAGAGGAGGGGAGGAGGAGAGGAGGGGGAGGAGGGTGGAGGAGGAGGAGGAGGAGGAGGAGGAGGAGGAGGAGGAGGAGGAGGAGGAGGCATTTCCTCCCTCTTCGCCGCCCTGGTCCTCACCCCCCTCTTCGCCGCCCCCGACCGTCGCCGTGGCCCGCGGGGCGCCTGCGGAGGGCCGCCCGCTGCCGGAGTCTGACCCCCGTGGCCAGCACGGGGGCGGCAGAGGCTGCGGGCTGCGCGGTGCCGCGGCGCGCCGCCCAGAGGCTGACTACCTACCAGACCACCCCAGCCCAACCCGAAGACCCGAATTTCGGGTGGGGGGGGGGTAAGGGTTCCACGTGTGCTTTCTCGATGTTTCCCGACCCCCTCCCCACTGGAAATCGAGGGTAAATCTGAGCCTTCGGGTTGGGTTGGGGTGGTTTGGTGGGTGGTGAGGGGCGCGCCGTCGGGCAGGGGGGGGGAGGGGGGGGCAGGCGGAGCCTCGGGCGAGGGGCGGGGCCGGCGTGAGCGGGGGCGGGGGCTGCATGGAGCTGGGCCCCGTCGCGGCCCTCGCGTCCGCGGAGCTTGCGGATGTCGTCGGATGCGGGCTGGCGCGGTTCCTGCTGCCAGATGCTGGGCGCCAAGTCGGTATCCATCCGCGTGGGCTTCGGCAGTGGTGGCGGGCGCCTTGCAGGCAAGGCGGAGCGCTTCGCCGTCCTCGAAGGAGTTTCGCCAATGCTGGAGTAGTGTCCACTGGGTAAGTCTGGAGCGTTGGAGGCGGCCAGGCTGCACGCAGCAGAGATGGGTCAATTCCACCAGTGCGCCGCGAAATCATCACAGTAATTACTGGTCGGCTGGAAGGCCCGTGGGATCGGAGCGGGGCCAGGGAGAGCGGATCCCAGCTGCTGTCGGAGCAGCCCTGGGGGATGCTCGAGAGCCTGTCAGGGTAGCCCGGATCGAACCTCGATCGGGGCACCATTGCGAATCGATCGGGGCAGTCCATCCTCGGGGTGCACTTGGAAGACAAACGAAACACCAGAGGAGCACCGCGTGGGCTGGATTCCGGCCGCCGCAGCAGGACCCTCCGCCCATCCGAAGGCAGCGGGAGGACACCGTGGTCGCGGGGGCCTCTAGAGCCGACGGCACCCGCACGCTGCCTCGTGCTCGAGACAGCATAATATGTTTACGTGATGCCAAAATATAAATTGAATCGTGTTTATGAAAATCCCCGTGACATGGAAGCAATGTTGAAATTGGCGCAGGCAGAAACAGCATTAGACGTCGGAGCGATGCGCAGATTTGGAAGAGGGTACGTATGATATGGTTCGGTCCTGCTGCAGAAGGGAGGGGCGTGAGCGGGCTCCCACGCACCCAGTCCCTGGGGGCCAAGCAGGGTGGGATGGGCCCGGGCTGTGACCCGGCACGGAACGTTTTCAGCCGCAGGCTCGGCGAACGCGCGAGCCAGTCGTTGGGGGAAGCGGCCACGGTCTCGCGGCACAGGCCAGCAGCACAATGATGTTAGCGCGGCCAGCGTGAACAAACGCAAGCACAGCACGGCAGGTCGACGCAACACACAAACATATTTACAGAACGAGCAAAACACACACATGGGCACCAAGTAAGCACGTGAAGCACTCCTGCATCGCCGTATCGCATTGACTGTGATGCGGGATTGCGTGTCGCAGTCGCCCTCGCCTGCTGTTTGTCAGAGAGGCTACTGGTGCACACTTTGCACTTGTGTATATACACTGGGGTGAATCAATACATGATTTGTGCAGACATGCGTTAATCACTCACACCATGCTGCAACCTCCAACTGCTTTCGGCCGCTGGAGATCTTCTTGGGCGCATGCTTGAAAGGGCCCGTTTCGGGCGGCCTCGCGGGCATCCTGAGCAGCGACTGGGCCCTTTGAGACCATCTTGGGCCCCTCTGGGCCCTCTCGGGGTCTCTTTGGGCTGCTGGGTGCTATGTTGGGCCCACCTTGGACCGCTTGAGGCCCTCCCGGGCTGTTTTGAAAACGTTCAGGGCAGTCTTGGGGCGCCCTTCGGCCTCTCTTGGTCGCCATGTGCATGAACACGGCCCCCCAATCCACGCGGCCAGCCAACACGCTCTCGAAACCAACGAGCATTCACGTGAGCGAAAAAGAAACCGGTCCTACGCAAGAGCACATACCGTCAGTGTGGCACACCGCGTCGAGAAGAGGGCGCTAACGCGTGGCCTTGCGCGGGGAGCGCACGAACCAATGCCCGCGAAATCCGTCGGCGCCGTTATTCTGCATCGCTCGTGTGCCCGCATGGACGTCTTCGCGTCTGGAAGGTGTGCCTTGGGCGCCACTTCGTCCAAGGTGTTGTCCGACACGCTCTTGAACTTCTCGTCGAGTCCCAGCGCGTCGACCACCCCGTCCCTGAGGTCGTCGACCCCGTCGGCGACCTGCGCGAGCACGTGCTCCATGCTAGCCTCCGCCGCGTCGATTCCTGTGTGGAGGGGGGGGGCGGGGCCCAGGGAGCACCCGAGACGGAACCTCCCGATCTCGTCCCCCCTCCTCCCCCGTCCGATATTCCCTTCCACTCTTCGCCTTCCTCTTCCCCTTCCTCTCCTCCTGCTATTCCTTCTCCCCTTCCTTCTTCCCCTTATCCTTCCTCTTTGCCTTCCTCTCCCCCTCCTTTGCCCCCCTCCTCTCCCCCTCTTCCCCCTCCTCTTCCCCTTCCTCGTCTCCCTCCTCTTCCCCTTCCCCGTCCCCTCCCCTCCCCCCTCCTCTTCCCCCTCGTCTTCCTCCTCCTCCTCTTCATTCCTCCCCTGCGTCCCCCTTCTTGTCCCCATTCGTCCCTCTCCCCCTTCCCCCCGCTCCTTCCCCCCTTCCTCCTCGCCCGTCCGCGACCACCCGCCGCACCGCCGTTTCCTCTTCCCCTCCCCCTCCCCCCCGCTTTCTCGCACTAGAGGGAAGGGGGGAAGGAGGAGGGCAGGTGAAGAGGGGGTTGGGGGGAGGAGAAAGGCTACAGAGGAAGATGCAGGGTGAGGACAAAGATAGAGGACGCCGAGCATAGGTGAGGCGAACGCGTGGAGAATCGAGAAGGCAGAGGGGTGGGAGGTGCGGGCAGGGGGGGGAGGAGGAGAACGGGGAGGAAGATGAAAAGGAGTGGGGAACCTCACGACGAGGGGGGGACACGAAGAGGACGAGGAGACCGGAGCAACATTCACGCTTCAGCCTTGCGAGCACCGCGGCGGGGCCTCACTGATTCCCGCGTGCGGCGGTAAGCAGAAGGAACGCGACGTGGAGTAGGAGTTGGAATAGGAACCGATGGCGATGTCAATACATGGTGAACTAACCACGGCCTCACTGGGCATTCTTGCATTTGCTGGGGACTTTCGGGGCTAAACCGATACGAATCCTGCCCAGGTACGTCTTACGTGTAGGGGAAAAAGCTTACAGGTGCAGGGGGGCGCCCACATGCTGAACTTGTTTGTCGGCAGTGGCCCCACACCTTCCACAGAACCAGCACTTCAAGGAGGCGTGCACGTTGAGGCTGCAAGGATGCAACCAGCCCCTCCCCCCCCCAACGTGGATCCGCCCTCCCGTGGGCTGGGGTACACCACCCCAGTGCCATCCAGGAGGTCAGCGCACGCCGAGGCGTGCCGCTCCTTTGATGGTAGCCTTCGGGGCAGACCCAAACCACGTGGTGCGGCGCTGCCTGCACTCTGACAGGCGGCGTCTGGAACGCATGGGGGAGACAACAGCAGCAGGAGGCAGCGGAAGGGGGAGGAGGGGGGCTTAGGGCCCCCCCACACCTTCTCCTGGAGAGGGGGGAGGAGATGGATCTGAGGAAGTACTGCCCAGGGGAGCGGAGAAGCCAACCTCGCACCTGCTCTCAACCCGAAGCTCGCTGGGGATCATACAAGCTGTTGACAGAGAGGGCGCCAACACTATGAGAGAGGAGAACGAGGAGGACAACAACCAGGGGGAACAGCTATGCATAGGAGGGGGGCAAAAGGTTGAGGGGGAGGAGGGATAAGATTGAGGATGGCGAGGACGACCGGGACGAAGGTCAGGAGAAGGAAAAGGAGGAGGAGAAGGAGGAGAAGGGTGACCAGAGTAGACCCAAAACGCACCAACGATGTTGCAAGACACCCTCCCTCCAAGCTCCCTCTTCAGAGGTCCCAACAAGACTGTGTTTACATTGCGGGAAATGCCAGGTTGCAAGACAACCGCCTGAGTAACCTCAATCCTGCCAAATACGATTCCTGGAACTTCAACGCCGCGGATCAACGTGACGGTTGTGTTTGAACAATCCTAAACCGTGGCATAACGCCACTCCCGGAACTTCAGCACCTAGAAACCACGACACGAAGCCGTTGCGTCCTGACAATCCTAAACGGTTCCAGAAAGCTGTTCATGTGACTTCAACCGTGCGAAACCTTGAAGCTGGTCTGAAGGTTTATAACGAGTGCGCGTTGCGAGGATGCGAGAACCACATTCGGATAAGGAGCTGCCCTCCATCCTTGCGGGTGTTGCAAGCTGTTCAGGCGAAAGAACGCGGCGCTAAGGCGAACGACCCTTCCATTCTGGAGACGACCCGCCCTCGACCCTTGAAACTGTTACAACCTTTTTTGTTAAATAAGCGGACGAAAAACCCAACCGTATGCAATAGTGAATCGCCCAACTGTGAGTTTCGTTTCCGGTGGAGCTCCCGCTGGTGCCACGAAACGTGTGAGTGTTGTGCTGGAACGGACGCGATGGGCGCATGCGAACGCGTGTCAGGGTGTGCCGAAATGATTGCGGTAGCGCCATGCGAGCGCAGCCACTGCGGCCGTCGGTTGGAATCCCCATGGGGCCACGAAACCTGTGAAGGTGTGCCGAAATAGGTGCGGTGGTGCTAAGCGAGCGCAGCCACTGAGGCCTTCGGTGGAGCTCCCTGTGGGGCCACGGAGCGCATGAGTGGTGTGCCGACATGCTCGCGGTAGCGCCATGCGAGCGCAACCACTGGGGCCTTCGGTTGAGCTCCCAATGGGGCCACGAAACCTGTGAAGGTGTGCCGGCATGGGTGCGGTGGTGCCACGCGAGCACAGCCACTGCAGCCTTCGGTGGAGCTCCCTATGGGGCAACGAAACGCGTGAGTGGTGTGTCGCAATGGGCGCTGTGGTGCCATGCGAGCGCAGCCACTGGGGCCCTCGGTGGAGCTCCGTATGGGGCCACGAAGTGTGGGATGTGTGTGCCGAAATCGGCACGGTGGTGCCACGCGAGCACAGCCACTGCGGCCTTCGGTTGAGCTCCCTATGGGGCCACGAAGCCTGTGAGAGGTTTGCCGACATGGGCGCGGTGGTGCCATGCGAGCGCAACCACACTGGGGCCCTCGGCGGAGCTCCCTATGGGGTGAGGGGTGTGCCGACATGGGTGCGGTAGCGCTCTGCGAACGCAGCCACTGGGGCCCTCGGTGGAGCCCCGATATGGGCCCATGAAACATGCGCGTGGTGTGCCGACATGGGTGCGGTGGTGCCATGCGGACGCAGCCAGGGGTTTGCCGAACTGGGCGTGGTGGTGCCATGCGAGCGCAGCCACTTCGGCCCTCGGTGGAGTTCCCTATGGGGCCACGAAGCGTGTGAGGGGTGTGCCAACATGGATGCGGTGGCGACATGCGAGCGCAGCCACTGGTGGAGCTCCCTATGGGGCCACGAAGCGTGTGAATGGGCTGCCGACGCGGGCGCGGCGGCGCCATGCGAATGCAGTCTCTGGGGCCCTCGGTGGAGCCCCCTTATGGGGGCCACGAAGCCTGACAGGGGTGTGCCGCAATGGGCGCGGTGCTGCCATGCGAGCGCAGCCACTGGGGCCTTCGGTGGAGCTCCCTGTTCGGTTACGAAGCGTGTGAGGGGTGCGGCAAAATTGCTGAATGGGGCGGAGGGCGGAGGCAGGGATGGGAGGATGGGGAGGAGAGGGCAGGGAGAGGAAGGGAGGATACGCGGTGCGCTGTCTCTTCAAAACGAGAACCCAACACTACAAAATGGTTGGGAACAGTTGTGCGCGGCAGAAAACGGCCCGCTTTCCTTCCTTGAAACGGTTGCAATTTTTTGGGGGCGATCGCGCTCGGCGCATAGGCGAATGTCACATGTGGAAAAGGATCCGCCTCTCATCCTTGAGACCTCTGCAACTGTTGAACGCGAGTGAACGTTAAGGCGAAAACTCTATTTTGAAAACGAACCGCTTTCCATCTGCGAAACTCTTCCAACCCTTAAGCTTCAGGATCGTCGGGACGGCCCGCCCTACTGACGCGCAGGGGGGTGCTTCAAGGAGGCGGCATTTAGAAGAAAAAGGAATGGAGGAGGAGGGGGAGGGAGGAGGACGATGGGGAAGGGGAGGAGGGGGAGGGGAGGGGTGAGAGGAAGGAGGGAGCAGGACGACGAAGAAGAAGGTCCTTCGTCGAGCTTGGTCACGGCGCTTTCTACCAACCCCCACATCTGGTGGATCCGCGGGTCCCGCCAACGCCGGGGCCGCCCGGCTTCTGGGGCGCGGGCTGCTGGGCCCCTCTGGCCCCCCCCTCTGGCTTCGGCGTCCGCTTCCTCAGGAAAGGGAGGAAGGACAATGATGATGGGGAGTGAACACATGAAACACGCCCCCCGCCCCCCACACGAATAACTTCTAGACCAATGGGACCGTCAAACGACGCGCGCACTGAGAGCGGAAACTGCTCGACGGCCAGCCAACGACAACGCCGCGATATTCAATGCGAGCAGCGCGCTGCTGCCATGCTCATTGGCGTTTGAAGTTGGCGTTTCCTTGTGCTGGCACGCGGTCCATGCCCCAAATCATTGTGGACATTTGCGCGCTCGTGCCAGGGCAAAACCCAGCGGGCGCGTCGGCCCTTGGCGGCGCTGGCACGACCCCCCCGCTGCGCCCGGGGCCCGCCCCGCGCGGGCGTGCATCGAAAAGTTTAGATTCACCCCAAAAACAAAGTTTAGGCACGAGGCGAAACGAAGTTTATACACATACCATACACATCAAACTAAACTTCTCCGAAGCAGAAGCCCTCGCGGCGGGAGAGCCCCGAAAAGTTGATATGAACAGAAATCGTGTTTATTTAAACGCCCCCCAAAAGTGATATTGGACCAGATGCGTTAAGAGACGCGCTTCCGATTTAAACTTTTCTGCCGGCGGGGTCAGGGCTGGGCGATGGAGGCGGGCGCGGGAGCCCTCGGCTGGGCCAGCGGAGCTGCCGCGCGAGGGACAACGCCGCCGTCGCCTCAAACTGCGAGCCGCGGCCGTGGCACGCGCCGCCCTGGGAATGCCGGCGCGGGCGCGGCCGCGTCGAGCGGGCCCAGGACGTCGCCGCGCGCGCGGGGCCCCCCTGCGGCAGCTGGCAATGGTCTCGCCGACAGGGCGCCTACACTTACGCTCATTCGCCGTAAATGCAAAACGCTGACATGTAAAATCCATAGTTGTGGGGGCGGGGGTCGGTTTCCCACTGTTCAGGGAGGAGGGGGCGATGGGGAGAAGAGGATGATGAGATGACGAGAAGGAGGAGGAGGACGATGAAAAGGACAGGAGTGAGGAGGAGGAGGAGAGGAGGAGGAGAGGAGAGTTAAGGATATTAGGAGGAGAGGAGTAAGAGAGGGAGGAGGAGAAAGAGGAGGAGGAGGAGGAGGATGAGGAGGAGGATCTGAGTAAACCAACGATGCGTCAGCGATGCCGCAAGACACCATCCTGGCCCAAGTCACAATCTTCATGCGATCCTGCACACTACAAGCAATCTTTCTCACTACAAGAAGCGCCCTCCCCCCCTGACAGACCAGCGCAGTTGGGCCTGCCATGTTTGCGAGGCCCCACTTTGAAAGGGACTGCCTCGCATCTGCCTGGTGCGTAAGCAGGAACGCGTCAGGCCACGACCACACATCTCTACGAAATGTCTCTAGTGAACTCGCTCCCTTCGAAAGAAGACCGCACCCCCACCCTCATCCGTGTGAGTGTTGTGCAAGTCTACGCTGGAGCGATGAAAACGGAGGGGGTCTCACGCGAGATGGCTTAACCACCTTACGCGGTGGCTTACGCGGGCTGCTGGCGCGGCGCGCCGCATTGGAGAGGAGGGCGCTTGCGCGCGACCTTGCGCGGGCAACTTACGCACCAATGTCGTTGAAGACGAATATGTTCATCTGCGTCGCTCACTTGTGCCCATGGGCTCCGAAGACACGACGTCCCCATTTCGCAAACAAAAAACCCGTTTTGGATCCGTGTCGCGTTACGCGTGTTGACGCTTAAGAATTTTTAACGGGCGAAATCTCCAGATAGAGCTATGTTGAACAAAAACCCCTCAAGCGCACTTTCAATCAATACTGGTCGCGGCGCTAAAACGACAGGCCCATTTTGCAAACGACCTGTGCTCAACCATCGATACTGCTGCAATATTACAGCGAAACGAACGTGCGCGGCACTAAGGCGAGAGCTCAAACTCCAAAGACCAGCTTCCTCCATCTTTGAAGCTGTCGCGTTCTTTTCCTGAAGCACAGGGCACAGCCCCAACCATGTCATCACGTCTGAACCGGCACAGTGAAAGGACACGCACTGCCACCGCTACACCCTGCCCCCCCCCGCGACAGAATGAAGCACGCCCGATGCCTTTGGTTGCCTCTCGAAGCGCGTCGTCTGCGCGAAACAGGAGGGCGGAGCAAAGCGAAGGACGCGGGCCAGGGAACGAGACCAATGCGTTGCGGGCGGGAACCCCGTGGCCCAATCGGCCAAGTCAAGTGAACCGTGCCTAGACGGCACATTGGTTGCAGATCGCATGCATGAGTGTATACAGCAGTACGATGGCGTCGACAATGCGAGAAGCACAGCTATAATAAAAAAAAAAAAAGAATAACAGAAAAGTGAAAGAGAGGAAAAGTTGTAGCAATAAGGAAAAAGCCCAGCGCGTGGCGGCTGTAAACGGATGGGACCTCGGTCGGGGCATGCTCCGGAGACCAACCCACCCGAAGACCCGAATTTCGGTTCGGGGGGGGGTATGGGCTCCATATGTGTTTTTTCGATGTTCCCGGACCCCCCCCACCACTAGAAATCGAGGGTAAATCTGAGCCTTCGGGTTGGGTTGGGGTGGTTTGGTGGGTGGTGATGTACTGATGGGACTTCGGTCGGGGCATGCTCCGTGGAGCGTTGCCCTGCCACTGCCCTGCCACTACTCCTCCCCCCAAGCGAGGTCCACGCGACAGCTCGGGGAACCGAGGCAGCCCAGGCGCGGTGGCGGGCTGTACGGATGGGACCTCGGTCGGGGCGTGCTCGGAGACCAACCCAACCCGAAGACCCGAATTTCGGGTTGGGGGGGGTATGGGCTCCATATGTGTTTTTTCGATGTTCCCGGACCCCCCCCACCACTAGAAATCGAGGGTAAATCTGAGCCTTCGGGTTGGGTTGGGGTGGTTTGGTGGGTGGTGATGTACTGATGGGACTTCGGTCGGGGCATGCTCCGTGGAGCGTTGCCCTGCCACTGCCCTGCCACTACTCCTCCCCCCAAGCGAGGTCCACGCGACAGCTCGGGGAACCGAGGCAGCCCAGGCGCGGTGGCGGGCTGTACGGATGGGACCTCGGTCGGGGCGTGCTCGGAGACCAACCCAACCCGAAGACCCGAATTTCGGGTTGGGGGGGGGTATGGGCTCCATATGTGTTTTTTCGATGTTCCCGGACCCCCCCCACCACTAGAAATCGAGGGTAAATCTGAGCCTTCGGGTTGGGTTGGGGTGGTTTGGTGGGTGGTGATGTACTGATGGGGACTTCGGTCGGGGCATGCTCCGTGGAGCGTTGCCCTGCCACTGCCCTGCCACTACTCCTCCCCCAAGCGAGGTCCACGCGACAGCTCGGGGAACCGAGGCAGCCAGGCGCGGTGGCGGGCTGTACGGATGGGACCTCGGTCGGGGCGTGCTCGGAGACCAACCCAACCCGAAGACCCGAATTTCGGGTTGGGGGGGGGTATGGGCTCCATATGTGTTTTTTCGATGTTCCCGGACCCCCCCCCACTAGAAATCGAGGGTAAATCTGAGCCTTCGGGTTGGGTTGGGGTGGTTTGGTGGGTGGTGATGTACTGATGGGACCTCGGTCGGGGCATGCTCCGTGGAGCGTTGCCTTGCCACTGCCCTGCCACTACTCCTCCCCCCAAGCGAGGTTCACGCGACAGCTCGGGGAACCGAGGCAGCCCAGGCGCGGTGGCGGGCTGTACGGATGGGACCTCGGTCGGGGCGTGCTCCGTGGAGCGTTGCCCTGCCACTGCCCTGCCACTATTCCTCCCCCCGAGCGAGGTTCACGCGACAGCTCGGGGAGACGGCTGCCGAGGCGAGCGCGCAGGCGAGTGCCAGCGACGATACGATGTGGGGCCAGCGTGAGGAGCGAAGCAAAATCGGGGCTCCCCCTGCTGCAGTACCAAAATGTGCCCGTGTGCCGGGCCAGGCGTCGTGCCTGAAACCTCCTCACAACGAATGGCTCTGGATGTTGAAACTCCAACTCGTGTGCGGATGGGGGGCCCGTCGTTTTCAGTGCGGCTCTCGCCTTGGCGCCGCGTGCAATCGTCTTGAAAACTTTCAACAATTGCAGGGATGGAGGCTGGTACGTGTCAACATGCTGCTCTCGCTTGAGTCTTCCCATGACCCGACGAACCACATTGCGCAACAGTCATACGAGGAGAAGGCGGTTTTTATTTAGCAACAAAACGAAAAACGGGTAAAACGAAAAACGGGTCTCACGCGAGATGGCACAGCGAGCTTGCGTGGTGGCTTACGCGGGCCACCAGCGCGGCACGCCACATTGGAGACGAGGGCACTTACGCGCGACCTTGCGCGGGCAGCTTACGCGCAAATGTCGGCGCAATCGATCCCATGTTTTGCGTCGCTCAAGTATCTCTCCACTCACACCCCTCTTCGCGGGTGAAGCAAGGTACAACAGAAACTTGTTCGCCATCAGGGGCACATGTCCCAGGACGGGTGGGAAGTTGATGCCTATACGGCGGCAGATGGAGGCACAAACGTTCCAGCCACCCTGGGACAGGCGCCCCCGACCGCGGAAAGCAGCTCTTCTACCGCTCTTCGCTCTCTGACCTTCCTCGCAGGCAACCTCCGCCCGCCCCCTCTCTAGACGAACGCGCTCCAAGACTCGCGGAGTAACTGCTCACAATTGGCCCGGATCCGACGGGGGGGATGTACGATCCACTGCATCGAAACAAATACGTGTGTCTCGGACGTTTGCGAGCAAGCACTTTGCGAGCAGCGGAACGCGCTCGGTGAGTCCCGCGAATGCGCGAACGCCCCCCTCGGCGGCGACGT